AAGAAAAGGCTTTGGAGCTTTTATTTAGAGGGTAAATAGAAACCATTTAAAGATTTGATTTAGGAAAGTAACCATTGAAACCCTAAGCCATGCCTCTGGAAAAGGTAGATCATGGTTTCAATAGGGTAATTTTAGAAAAAATAAAGTAATTTTCATTATGTGGTGCTATTGTTAAATATGATATGGTATGATACTATAGTCTCTAAAAATCTGAAATCTAAGTAATATAAGTAGAGCACAATGAAATGTATATTAAGTTTAAGCTGCAAGACCAGTCTATTCAGAATTGTTTAAGTCTGTAGCCATAGCAAGCAAAAACCTTGTTGTGGTGTGCCATTGCCCCCGTGAATGATTCGTGCAGTGAAGACAACAGACAGCAGCGACTTGTGACCTGCATGTGTGACTACATTGTTTTATCGTAGCAAAACTGAGGAGCAAACAGATCTGTTCTCCTCTCAGAGCGTTACATGTGCATTTAAACACCTAACTGAAGAAAGGTGCGCCTTTAGACAACATGCCTTTAGTACTGACATAATTCTCAAGATGAGGAAGAAGACAATAGAACCACAGAGCTTCTATTTTAAAATTAATTTTTACTCTAGTTCAGAGACTTCCTGAACAATTTAATTTGCGCATGAGATTATTTAACTAATAACAGGTAACTGCTATGCATCTCTATTTTTACATGATCCAATGAAAGAAGACAAAGAAGTAACAGCGTTTTATTTGAAACAAAACTATAGCTCATTATCAATGAAAAGATTATAGTCCCTGTCAAAAAAGTAAGTCACTGAAAATGGTCCTTTCAAAATTCCTAATGAGAGCTGGCACTATTTAAATGGAAGGAGTCAGAGAAAAATACTGGGAGTTAGCTTTTAACTATTGTCTTACTACTCCCCCAAGTAATGTGAAGTCAAAAAGCATTTTCTCGTCAGCTTGGAAAATTTGCACAAAATGTGTTCAATTTCCAGCAAAGGCATGTATGAGTTTCTTTTTTTAAAGATAATACTTAAGAATGTCAGATAGTGGGTCAACAGGTGGCATGATGATTAAAGTGTTGGACCCCACATGGCTAAGTGGTTCAAGTCCCAGACTATGTGTCTTGAGAAACACACTTAGCACATGTGGATGCATGCCCAGAATCCTGAGATGAGAATGGAGGAAAAGAGATGACACAGTGACCTGGCCCCCTGGGGGTGCTTTCTCACTCCTTTTCTTATATGAAATAGTTCATTTTTGAGTAATAATTACATTTTCTTAAAGTTTATGTAATATGTCCTTTTTGAAGGATTTAAAAATTTTACGTATGAGTAACATATATCATCATATTTCTATTATAATTTTAAGCATGTAAGTTCACTTAATATTTTGAAATATGTTATTACATTTTACGTTGGAATCATGTTGAATGGTGAGGGTTGGTCATTTCATTTTATGACTCCCAAGCTTTTATTTTACAAGAATAAATATTGGAGGACTGGCAGGTAGTCTGGTGGTTTAGGGCAGCTAGTCTCTCACATGGCTGACTCCTATTCAAGTCCCAGACCTGGCAGCTTGCTTTCTCACTTTTCTTTTCTATCTCTATCTCTCTCTGGTCAACGTCAAAAGATAAAAAATAAAACAAAATAATGACAATAAATAAAATAATTTTTTGAGAGATTTTTGCTATAGGGTGCATGCACTCACCAGAAAGAGAGAGACAGAGAGACAGAAAGCAAGAAATCACCCCCCCAGGGAGGATGGCCATGCCTATTGTCCTCTCAGGATCTTGGGCACGCAGGCACACCTGCCCAGCATGAGTTTAAGCCACCAGGTTTGGGGCTCGAACCACATCAACTACATGGGAGTCCAGCCACATAGGTGTTATGCCAACTGCTGATCCCAATAATTCTTTTTTTAAAAAAAGAGTCAGTATTGGAATAACAGTATTACTATTTTGCTCTGGTATTGACTTCATAGCCAAAATTAAAAGACTGCCTGACGGTAGTGGGCTGAAAGTAGATTGTGGTGTTTGGAAGGAGAAAGACAAAAATAGATGAGTGTCTAATAGAAGAATGAGGCAGAATCCCAAGACTTAGCAATGTGGGAAATACAGTCTATGTGGAAGAAGAATGGGAAAAAAATCCTTTATCTCCTTCGGTAAACCTGATTAGGTGTAGTTATGAACATTATTGCTTGCATAAGACAAAGAGGAAACAAGAAAGGATGTGGTTATGAACGTTACCATTTGCAGAGCAGGTACTCAACAGAAAGGAGAAAAGCTAAGGCAAGTAGCAAGGACCCATTGATGGCACAGCAGTAAAATACGATGCTTGGCAAGGCTGACCCACATTGTAAGGTTGCCAGTTCAAATCCAGAGATACCCTTGAGTACTATGTGAACAAGGCTGGCTGGGGCTGAGGGTAGATTGGGGTATCAGGAGCTTGTCAGGGGTGTCATATGTCTTTCTCTGTCTCTTCCACTCATGGAATAAGTAAATTAAAAAAAAAAATGGGGGCAGGGCAGGATAAATTGTAACACTTCAGGAAGTGCTACAACTTCAATAAGTAAATATTTAGAAAATTCATACCCCTTCCCCATAGCATCTCTTTTGTGTTTGGGGAAACTTGATGCATACCATTTACACCATGATGAATTTGAGACCTTTTCTGGTAAAGAGAGGGTTGAAGATAGTTTAAAGGAAGTGAACGATCAATGGTAAACAGCTGGAAGGCCAGCACAGGGCTCCCACACAGCTTCTTAAACCTGCGTTATCTTGAATGTGGCTAGAGCCGACGCCCCTGCTGTTTATTTCTCACAAGTGGGGTGAAAAGCAGTTTTGACTCCTGCAGCTAGGAATGCAGTGTATGTCTATGGAAGACAGGCCTGCTCTTGCATTCCCACGGTGAGACTGTGCATGTAATTTTCCGGAAAGATGATTGGCTGTTCCCAGGAAGCAGTGGTTATCCCATAGCATCACTAGGGTATTTCTCACTGTGTTAGAGGTCCCCTTACCTGTTAGTGTCTGGTCAAGGAATGGAACTACTTTTATTTAGAACTTCTTTTTTTTTTTTTTTTAAGGCTTTTGCCATAGGACATATGTACTCTACAGAATGAGAGAGAGAGAGAGAGAGAGGGACAGTAAGAGGGAAAGTGAGAAATCACAACCCCTCCCCCAGGGGAGATGACCATGCTGCAATCCCTCTTCTTCCCTTCTCCTGTGATTTTGGGCATGCACACATACATGTCCAACCTAAGTCTCAAGCTGCTAAATCCTGGACTTGAACCATCGTTAGCCATGTGGAAGTCCAGCATCCCAACCACTATGCCACCTGCTGGCCCACATTTAGAACTTTAAATACATTTTCCCATTTAAACTTTTTGTGAGGTCTGGGCCCATTACCTAGAGGTTAAGGGAGCTGGATGTCAGGGCCGGCGGGTGGTGCAGTAAGTGGGGAACGGGACTCCCACACGGCCAATTGTGGTTTCAGTCCTGGACCTGGTGGCTTATTTTCTCACTTTCCCTATCTCTCTCTCTGGTCAAATTAAAAAATAAATAATAATACCAAATAAAACTCAGTAAACAAATCTTGTTTTACAAAGGGGGGGGTGGAGGGGAGATGTCACATAGCTGAATATGGTTCCAATCCCAGTCTTGGTGGCTTGAAGAAATATGTCAGGGAGACCAGCAGTTAGCATAATGGCTATGTCGCCGAACTCCTATATAGCCAACCGTGGTTCAAGTCCCGGACATGGTGGCTTAAACTCATGCCGGGCGTGTGTGCATGCGTGCCCAAGATCCCTACAGGAGAATGGAGGGGAAGGGATTGTGGCGTGTCCATCCCCCCTGGTGGGTGATTTCTCGCTTTCTATCTCTCTGTCTCTCTCTTTCTTTCTGGCAAGCAAATGCGCCCTATATCAAAAACCTCTCCAAATAAATAAATAAATAAATAAATAAAAATGAAATACGTCAGGCACATGTGCATGCATCCCCGAATTCCAACAGGATAGAGGAATGGAAAAGAAAGGATTTTGATCTAATCATGCCCCATGGGGAGGTGGGGTACTTATTTCCTCTCTCTGTCTGCCTTTGTGGCAAGCACAGGCATGCTGTGGGAATTTAAAAAAAATATAGTCTTGTGAGAAAATAATTTAGGAACACAGCTTCTTGGAAATACTTGTATTTTACATTAGTACATGTCAAGTTTGAAAGTATCGTGAGGGCGGGTCAATTTTAAAAACACGAAAGTGGATCACTGAGATGCTGTAATTACTATTAAGGAAACTATACTCAGAATTCCTCTTTAAATTTTGAGCTTGTGGGCATTTTCATTTTTGTTTTCTCCTTTATCTCACCTCTCCCCATTGGCTGCTTATTTCAAGACTCATGTTATGCATAATGTGGAAAAAAAAAACCAGTTTGGGTTTTGATTTTTAAAAGAAGTTTTAGAAAGAGTCTTGCAGCGTCACCAAGGCCTCAGCCTTCCAAGTGGCTGGGACCACAGGTGTGTGCGACTACATCCTGGCTTTTAGGGTGGGCTGGGAATTGAACCTGGGCCTTCCACCTGGCCTCAGCCTGCTGAGTGGCACTTTGCTACTCAGCGAGCTCAGGCCACATGCTAGCAGGGCTGGGTGAAAAGCGTACTTGTGTGAATCTTTGTTCATTTCTATACCAAGTTTTAATCCTGTAATTGTCAAAACGGCTGAGAGCATTAAGAAGCTTCCGAAGGTGTTGCATTGCGCTGTAATTGTGTTTTCTGTGGTTTGAATTGAGAAGAGCCATAGCCAAGCCCATGTTTGGCAGTGGTCAGATGGCTGTTGTGGTACTCGAGTGGCACTCTGATACCTCATTATTGCTCTTTTATTTTTGGCCTTTTTAAAAATGAAAATGAGGCCGATGACTTCTAGAGCTTTCAAGTGTTTCGAACTGTGAAATAAAAATGGTGTCTCAAGAGCTTGGACATTTGGAGGTCCTACTATGAACAAGCAATGTAGGTGTTTTCTTTGGAATTTTATTTCAGAAATCTCTACCGCAGGCCCACTTGGCATGGGAAGCACCACCACCAGTACCACTCTTCGGACCACAACTTGGATCCCAGGAAGGAGTACCACCCCATCTGTGTCAGGGAGAAGAAATCGGAGTACCAGCACCCCATCCCCAGCTGTTGAGGTGCTTGATGACATCACCACACACCTTCCATCAGCATCATCCCAAATCCCAGCTCTTGAAGAGAGCTGTGAGGCCGTGGAAGCCCGAGAAATCATGTGGTTTAAGACTCGCCAAGGACAGATAGCAAAACAGCCATGCCCTGCAGGAACTATAGGTACGTCTGTCCTAAAAAGCTAAGCTATTGATGGTTCTTCACTTTAGCTTGATCTTCTAGCATTCCTTTCTTTTCTTTCTTTCTTTGATTCATTTGTTACTGTATATTGTTCCTTCCCATTTGATTCGCTTCTGTATTCCACTCAGTTGCAATTTAAAGTAATCTATTTCCAGAGTTGGAAAATGCTAATGGAAGACGTACCAGGTGAAAATGTGGTGGGAATGTGGGTGAGAGGAGCAGTTTTCACCCCCAGTGTCAGGTCTCTGCTGCAAGTTACACTTAGGCTGAGATGTTCTGGCTATTGCTAGAGACACAGTTCTTCGAGGGAACTGCCCAGGGTCAAACACATGCCTGTTGGAAGTTAGTCTCCTGCTTGTCACCAACTATCAATGAATTTAGGACTTCTATATTAAAAGATGATCATTGAAATGACCTAAAATCTTGACAAAAGAGACGGTTTGACTGTCCTTTTTACCACCTATCACAGTTGTCCTCTAGGGGGTGAGACTCTTCACACATTGTCAAGGACCACGTTGTAGGACACCCAACCTCCCATTCACTCGGGTGCCTACTAAGGAGCACCATCTTTCATCATTTTCTCTTGCGGGAGTTAACTCAATAGCAATATGACTCATAATATCCTGAGATGGTAACCATATTATTTTTTTAAAGAATTATTAATTTTATTTATTTATTTATTTTTAATTTGCTATATGGCATGTGCACTCACCAGAGAGAAAGAGTAAGAGAGCAAGTCACCAGGTCTAGGACTCAAACCATGGTCAGCCATGTGGGAGTCCAGACCCTCAACCACCACACCACCTTCTGACCCTGTATTATTATTTTTTTTAGGCAGAAGTAGTCTTCCTTTTTTATTGTTAAATACATGGATGTTTGTAAACTCCTACTTGACACACTGAAAACATTGACATTATTTGCTAAAATGGATAAATAAAATATACAATAGATATCAATGTACTCATGTTCTTAGAGCACTGTATCTTTGGATATTATCGATTTGGGTACTTTAAGGAGGAAGATTTTTCTTAGAAAACTTTTGATGTGGAAATACTCTGAATTCTATGGTTTATGAAGTGGTGGGAAGATCAGCAAATAGATATCTTGTTTTTTAGAAAATACATGCTACTCCCACTCCCTCAAATTGTTAAAATATATTCAGAATTCTTTCTTCCCTATGTGAATATAAGGGTGAATATTTAGTCCTAAAGTTTGCTGTGGTGTTGGAATAAGAAAACAGTTTAAGAGCTCTTTCCGAGCTCCATCCCCTTAGACCCAGGCCTCAGTTTTTCCATCTCTAAGAGAGAAATAGCAGCTCTCCTACTTCAGGCAGTTGTCCTGACGCTTAGTGATGTGGTTTATTTGAAAGTACTGGGTTGTGGGAAAAGTCAGGCCACATTTTTGCATAGAAAAATACGTCATGGCTGTTTGGACGACCCAGTAGTTGGCAAACAGCAAAGCATTATACAAATATTTCGTTATTTTGGGGTGAAAGTCGGTAAAGACACTTAGCAGCTGCCTTTTTCATCCTTCACCCATTACTGTCAGTACCTCAGTCTCAGAGGTACCATCTCCAGCCTTTTTCTGTTATACCTCTGTCCAGGCCCTCACAGACTCTCATTCGAATTATTGTGAAAACTTTCTCATAACTACCACATCTCTCCTTTAAACATCCCGAGTTTTATTTATAAAGCCTAAATCTGCTTGTTTCTCTTCCATCTTCAGCGTTTGTTGCTCTTTCAGCCCCATGGAAGATAGATGAGGATGCTCACAGTCTGGCTTTGCCACCTTTTCAACCCCGTTAAAGACAGTTCCCCCCCAGTTCAAAACACTTGATGTTTCCCAAAAATCTTGACGTCTCCACATGGAATGTCTCTTCCTACCTTGTTTTCCTGAAAAGCTTGCACACATGTTCCTTAAAGCCTCAGCTCTCACCTTGACCTGCAAACATGAGCAACAGGTCCATGGAAGCGGATATCACATTGATCTGATTGCTGAAATTATCCCCCATTCCTGCCATAGTGGCTAGCAAATTCTTTAAAAATATCAAATCTTTAAGGCCAGCAAGTGGCATGATGGTTAAGATGCTGAATTTCTCATGCCCGACTGCATGGTTCGAGTCCTGGAGCCAACAGCTTGGAACACATGCCAGGCGTATGTGTGTACATGCCCAAAATCTGAAGAGGAGAATGGAGAAAGGATTGCACCATTGCCATCCCCTGGGAGGTGTTTCTCACTTCCCCCCTCTGTCCCTCTGTGTCTCTCTAGCAAGTACACACTCCTTATAGCAAATAAATAAATTTAAAATTCAAATGTTTCTGTTGGGTACTCTATTACTGTAATGCCATTTTCGGCAGGCACTGTTTCTGATGTTTTAATAGGATTTCAGTTTAATTCTTTCATTTTTACTGTTGCTTATGTTTTAAAATAACGTGGTCATGAAGTCATGCTAAGAAAAGATGGTTCGAATATCCAAAACAGACTTTTTTTTCTCTTATTATTATAGGTGTATCAACGTATCTGTGCCTTGCTCCAGATGGAATTTGGGATCCCCAAGGACCAGATCTCAGCAATTGCTCTTCTCCCTGGGTCAATCATATTACACAGAAGGTAAATCTTGTGATTGCTAAGAAAGGCTTTGCTTAACCTACATCCTCTGTTGTTCACTGTAACTGCTGAAAACAAGAACAGTCGAGATTTATGCAGAAATTAATGTGGAGAAATTCTCCCACTTCAGTTTAATTTCAGATTCAGTAATGGCCTCTAATATGCTATGAGCTAATTCTAGAATTTTGCTGTCTTCAAAGTGCAATTTCATGAACTGCCTTTAAGCCAAGCAGTATTGCTTATAATAATTTTATTATTACTAAAATTTCTATGGTATTTTGAACTACAGATATAAAATTCCAAGAGGCATTATACATCAAACGAGCAAAAGCATCTAGCATACATACATACATATGGATTTTCCTGTGGAAATAATAATTGTAACAGGAAAAAAAAAGGTCTACCTCTGGAATTTGAAGCCATTTGATAAATGTTCTGTAACCTAATCATTTATCAGTACTCAAAGTATACACATGTGTGACAGACTCTTGCAGACTCAAATTTGCAGAGCTTATTTGGTTGCAATATGTTGAACATTTTTATTATTAATGCACTGTGGGGCTTTGAATCGATTTCATTACAAACAGAGACCAGATGTGCATTTATGCCAAAAGGGCTATGGGATGAATCCTTATTATAGCAATTTATGTGGATTTATGCACTGCTAAAATGGAGAGTCCCTTCGATGGCACATTAGCTGTGCTAAGGAATTTCTGAAAGGGATTTTTTTTTCCTGAGAAATATTACAAATGATGGCCTTACAAAAAGCCTGCCTGTGCCATTTGGTCTTTTCTCTATTTGTTTTTAACCAGGCTGATCCTCAGTAATATACTGTATAATAATCCATAAATACCAACCCAGTAGATCATTTCGCAGATGAGCCGTAACTATCTATTTACCCTAAATCATGGAAGAATAGTGGTTCTATTGACTCTAGTTACCCTCTTCAATATGCATCTCCAGACTTGTTGCTATTCATAATGATGCTCTTCCAATTTCAGCCCTGTTCCTGCCTTAGTTTTTAAAGTCCTTTGATTTTATTACAATGTAGCTCAGACCCCGGGGCGAATAACTCTTGGTAGATGTGATCAGATTAGAGATCAGTAGCATATCTCCTTACATTAGCAACTTTTAAAAAATACTCCCTGGATACTTAGTTTAAGAGTTAATATAAATTCGATAATAATTCACCTAGAAAGCTGAGTATTTTCATGATAATTCCTGATATAGTTGGACTATATCATTGTAAAAATTACTGTGTGATTTTAACTGATAATGATATTTAATTCTTTTTTTTTTTTTTTTCTGCTGCAGCCTCACTAATCTTTAGGATCAAAGAGAAAATTCCTTTCAAAGACCAGACAGCTGTTGCCCGTTTAATTTATGGCTAGGAAGGTTTTGTTTTGTAGTAAATAGGTCCTATTTTTCCAAGCAATTTTGTTTAATCCTGTAGATCCTATAAAATTATAATGAAATTAAAATGATTGAATTTTGGCAGTTAGAGCTTCTGACAGTACCTTGGATTGATTATTCATGCATTTATAAAATCTTTAAATGTGTTACAGTAGGATTTTGAGTAGTCGGAATCAGTTCATGTAGTTGGCCAGAGGTCAGTGTTGGGGCTGAAGTTTTGGCTCAGTTCCCTGTCATCAAGACATTATGCTTAGCCACAAGAATGGGGACCCTGTGAGTGCATAATGATGACCTTCAACCCCACACTCACCTCAGCTTCCTCTCCTTTACTTCCTCCAGGGTTTAGAATGATGGTGTCGCTTCCACTTCCGCCCCTAGACATTTATGCTTGCTGTGGTTTAGATAGTGGTTTCTACCACAAAGGTTCATGAGCTGGAATTCGATCCCCACTGTAATAACATTAACAGCCAATGAGACCTGAAAGAGATGAGGCCTACTGGGTGGTGTTTGGATCATGAGGGCATCACCCTCATGAATGGATTAATGCAGTGAGAGAGAGTTAAAATTGTCATGTCTGCCTTCAGCTTGATCCCTAGCTTTGACTCCATTTTTCAAAGAGGAGTTTATGTTTGCAATTTTGCAAAGCTTTCAGGAATTCATTGCTCTTTATATTCTCCATCCTTTTCCGTTTAAAATTCAGTGCCAGGACCGTTTAGAATAGCTTCCTTATTATTTATATGTAAAGTGAGGTCTGCTCCCTACTCCTGCAGCCTGGTCCAACTATGATGTGAAAAAGAAACGCCTAAATTGTTACTGGGAATGGTCTCTTTCTATTTCTAACACACGGAAGGGCCTTTTCTTTTATTTGTACACAAGCTACCGACACATTTTGAGATAACATGAGTTTATTCCTGCATTTGCTAAAGAAAAAGAATGTGGAGATCTAGAAACAATGCTGCTGTTTTAAGGTATAAGATAAGCCAGCTATTTGCCCGGGAGGACTGTGTAGAAGTCACCTCCTCTGTCTTAGTTCCCCATTCTTTTAACCTCTTTAAATCTAGTAGGAAATGAAAGAAAATTTCTTCTTGAATTTATTAGAGATTGGTAGGGTTTCCAAGATTAGGCTTATTTAACTTTCCTTCGATTGAAAGGTAGATGGTTTTGTTGTTTATATACTCTGTTGACTAAAATTTATAGAAAAATAAGATAGCTCTTACAAAAAAGTGGCAGGGATGCAGCTCCCTTCACATAATTCCTTTCTGGATCATTCTGGCCCCTGATGAATGGCTCATTTTATAAGTCTCGTAAAATCTCAAAGCCGATTTTAAAAATTGTTCTTAATATGTGAACATTTAAAATGTAATAGTATCTATCTCTATCATTACTATCCTTAATTAAAGCTGCAGGGTTTCCCCCTTCCCATTCAAATCCTGGATATAATCCTACTATATCAATATGGGCATTAATTTCCTAATCCTCATAAAAACGTCTCAGTGTGTATGTGCTTATTTCTGAGAAATAATTTTAATAAAATTTAGCAAAAAGCAATGTTAAAGAGATAGTTGAATAAGGTCTATAGGCTTGGATAAGCAAAATGACTATTTCAACCTTGCCTCTGTACACAGATGCCTTGAGACAGAGTCAAAATGTGTGTGTATGTGTATATCTTTGTGTAAAAATAAGGTCATTAGAGTCCACCATTACTAGAGTGTGAGAAGTAAATGGGGAGATCAGAAAGAGAGTCACTTTGATGTCACTGGAGAAAACATAGTCAGTGAAGCCTGGATGGGAAAGGTGTCCATGGAGCTGAGGCAAGATTACAACAGTTGTAGGAGAATCCAGGTAATGACACCCCGATTGAATGGATGTAAACCAGAAACCTGGGAAGGGCTGTTGTGCCTCCTTCTTACTCCCCTCCACTTGTGACCAAACCCCAGGCCTGTCAGGCTTCCTGTGCATCCCTGTCAAGTCAGGCTCCAGCTCTTCACCTTTCTCCATTCCCGCTCCCCTAATCCACAGCAATTTGGACTCACCCCAGGTCTTCTTGCATTCACCCCTGAGACCTCTAATCCCATCTCCTGAGTTCAATTTCAAATGCAAACCCAATTAGACCACTGCTTTTCAAACTCTTTCGTACTTTCCCTTTCTTCTTAGCACAGTTTCCGAAACTTTCAACCTGATTTCCAAAGGCGGACCAACTTCCAGGGTGCCTTGCTCCACTCTCCAGTTACCTAAAGTCCCGCCACAGTTCTGCTTATGCAACCCCCCAAAGACTCCCTGCCCCTCCCTCCTAAAAGCTTGGCACTTGCAGTGAAGCTCCCACCTGTATCTAACCTAATTCCTTTTCCATCCCATCTCTGGATAAACAGTCTTCCCCAGAGGCCTGGTAGCTCCTGAATTACTTTCTAACTTTACATACCAGTTAAAATGCTTTTGACCTATTCTACCTCACTGATAATCTGTACTGCACTCAACACAATTAAAACTAAATAATTGTGCAGTTAAAGTTTTAACAGCTCTTGAGCCAGCAGGTGGCATGGGGGTTAAAGCAGCCGGATCCCACAGGGCCAGTTGTGCAGTTCAGCATCTTAAAGATCACACTAGGCACGTGTGCATGCATGCCCCAAATCCTGAGGGGAGCATGGAGGACAGGGGATTCTGCTATGGCCATCCTCCCTGGTGGGTGATTTCCCACTCTCTTCTGCCTTTCTGTCTCTCTCTGATAAATGGATGTGCCCTAATAGCAAAATCAAAAAGAAAAGAAAAATTTTAATAGCTTTTCTGCTGCTGGTATGTAGAGTCCTCGTTATCGGAAACCATTTTACTCACTACTGTTTCCCTAGTGTTTAGCACCGTACTGTAGAAATTCAAGTGTTGGTTAAAGACAAATGAACATAGGGGCCAGCAGGTGTTGCAGTGGTTAAGTTGCTGGACTCCCAGGGGTTCAGGTCTCGGACTTGGCAGATTACTTTCTCACTTTCTCTCTCCTTCTCACTCTTTCTGGTGAGCACACATTCCCTATAGCAAATTCAAATACTACTACTACTAATAGTAATAAATAAACTTAAGTAAATATGTTTTAAAAAGACAAACGAATATATAGGCTAAATGAATAATCATTGAAATTATAGATGCGTAGGTACATAAATAAATAGAGATAGATATATCCTTTCTATTTTTTTAAAAATTGATATAATAGGTATTTAATACATATGCACATGCACACATATACAATTTCTGATATGCAGGTATCAATATTGGATTTTGAGGGTAGGAAAAAAATGTGTTTTGTTTTTTCCTATACCTATAGAACTCAGTATTCCCAAATCATGGTTATTCTAGACTTTACTTCTTATCTCCCTTGGCTACAGATCAGCCCCCACTGGTATTCCATCTTACCTGGTCATCCTAAACTTAGCTCTCAAGGCTTCACTTTCTTGTTACCCTCTTCCTATCCCCTTCCCAGGTGTTTGTTATCCCAGTAGTATATCCCATAATCCCTTGTGTTAGTTGCTTATTGCATTGCTGACAGAGACTGAGTGATCTAATAAAGAAGTTTTGAGTCAACCCGTGGTTTGATGGTTAAGGAA